TATGCCTTACCATCAAACGGCCCTATGCCTTACCATCAAACGGCCCTATGCCTTACCATCAAACGGCCCTATGCCTTACCATCAAACAGTCCTATGCCTTACCATCAAATGACCCGATGCCTTACCATCAAACGGCCCTATGCCTTATCATCAAACGACCCTATGCCTTACCATCAAACGGCCCTATGCCTTACCATCAAACGGCCCTATGCCTTACCATCAAACGGCCCTATGCCTTACCATCAAAAGGCCCTATGCCTTACCATCAAACTGCCCTATGCCGTACCATCAAACTGCCCTATGCCGTACCATCAAACGGCCCTATGCCTTACCATCAAACGGCCCTATGCCTTACCATCAAACGGCCCTATGCCTTACCATCAAATGGCCCTATGCCTTACCATCAAACGGCCCTGACCCTTTGTCCCCAAAGCCCACAGAGACATCATGAAGGTCCTGAAGCTCCCATCCCATCATATCACCACGTCTATTCACACCTCAAAGGAGCTGCAAAGCTCGTCTCTGTCACTGTTGACATGCCAGCAGACAAGGAGGGGTCTTCACAGAATGATCTTCAATTTAAATCCGTCACGCTAACCTTGCAATGTGATGTTCTGATCCATTCAAGCTTGGTGTCTCGGGAGACGGTCGTCATACGCAGACGCGAGGTGGACAGGCCCAGGGCGGGACAAACACAACTGAGCAGGTAAATCAATCAGACGAAGAACTACCAAGAGCGGAAGAGCATGTCTTCGGTTCACTGACTCAAGACTACCTCTTCCTTTACACTTAGATGTGCACTGTCCCTCCTGACATGGAGATGAGATTGTTAAGTACAAGAGGAAACCTTCCGGAAAAAGGTCACAAAAAGCCACTTCGTCGGAGAAAAAGCTCTCAGCATCTGTTCACCCTTGAGGAATCGCGCGTGTGTTTAAGAATTCAGAATCAGAACTTGGGCCCGACAGCAAAAGCAGCATTCTGGGCGAAAACACAGCAAAGGAATTTGTGAGTGTAAATGCATCACTGGTTAATGCAGGCCATTGTGTCTCTCCTTGTAATTTAGCCCCTTTCTTAGCCACTTAACGAGCATATCACATTGGCCCGTGTTGTCACAGCAGAGGCCTTGGGGTAATGATTTTGAACAATTCATTTTAAAAATGGAGAGCTCTGGAGATCCCAGGCTCATTAAATTATTTATTCACGGCTTTGAATGAGGAGACATTCAATTATTCAAATGTTGACATTTAACAGCAAGTCAACTCGACTGACTGAATTTTACCGGCGTGGTTCAGGAAGTCCGGAGCGGAGATCCCCCTAGGGAGAGGCACGTGGTGGGGGGGCAGATTCGCTCCTGTGACACCACCTGACCCCCTGTACCCCCCACCACACGTCTCGGAGAGAGGGATTCCCTAAATTAATTGTGGATGATGAACAGAAGTCATGGAGATGCATACTGGTCGTAGCTTTGAGGTCTTCTGGGGGTCGTTAAGGAGCCAGGCAAAGGGAACCATTGGAACTGGGCAGTTTTTTGCGCCGGAGCAGCACGGTAAACACGTTCCCCAGTGTTTGGGCTGCTTGTGTGTGGAGAGTTTTCTGTGCTCTTTCCTGTGTTTGGCTTACTTTCGTCTCAGTACAGGGTGGTAACCAGTGGAGGTAACCAGAAGAGACTGGTTTATCTCTGGGTTTAATCAAAAGCAAGTGATAAATATGATGAGGGTTCTTACAGATGACTTAACAACAGAAGAACACCAAACAAACGGACAGCAGTGTTTACCTGGGCGTCTACCAGCAGGTGCCTCATCAAGGTCATTGACTTCTTCAGGGTGTCCTTCTCGTTGGGCAGGAAGGCATTTTCCTCATGGTCCAGGGCCTGGGGCCTGTTCACCATGAAGTGGGAGATCTGGTCGTTCAGGCTGGTGAGGGACTGCACCGCTGTAAGGTTGGAGAGCGGAGAGAAAAACAGTGACGTCAGCCACCAGTCACAGTCAAGGCGGCGGCGCACCGAAACCACCATCTGCTGATCCGCTGGAACTGACGTCTCATTGGGCCGCAGGCTATCTCACGTTCCGCGCCGCCGGCGTTTGGGTCCAGTTCTCGGCAGCCCCGGCTAGAAAATCGGTTACCGGAAATGGGTTGATGAATGGGGACCGTGCTGGGATTACAGAATGGGGATTGGGGGATGTTTTTGGGAATATTAAATAAAAAAGTCATAACACTGCAGGGACCCATGGCAAACCCAAGCTGCAGGTGGACATTAAACATATATAGTCTATTTCGGGTTTAGATCCATTGCTTTACAGCTGCAAGCCGACTCACCAGGGTTCTTATACGAAGTATCTGCTGAGTGTATAATCCCTCACACTCCACAGACCAGATCTGCACTCCCTTCAGTAAAACACTCTCAGCCATTCCTGTCATTCTCTTCTGGGATGTCTAACTTCAACATTGATGTGAAATTTATTCTGCGATCAGGGGGTAGATTTCAGAATTGTGGGCGGCCAACTGCAGGCAGGCTGTACGGCTGACTGACCAGACGGGAAAAAAAACCACAAGGGTTTTTACATTCTACCTCATTAACCATAATTAATGTGTGATAAATAAAATATTATGTAAACTAGGTGATCTGCAGCAATAAATTCTTAAGCCTTTCATCATGAAATTTAAATGAGCTGTAATATCTTCTTTTACCAATTATCAAGCTCACCCTCAAAACCTGTGGGTTAAATATAGCTGAATTTAAATTTCAAGTATAATTCTGATCTCTCTCTGGTCGGTCTTACGCCATGTGTAAACTACTCCAGCCAGACGACTCCAAAGATACGATGATGAAGGGACTGGCTTTAAGACAACTGGGATGTGGCCAGGCAGCGGGAAGCGTGCTGGTTCAGGAACTGGACACGGTTGCCCTGTTTTTCTACCTTTGACAACAAATGTTGAATTACCTCAGGAAAAATACCAGTCCATGAAAATGACATTACCGCAAAATGATATGCTGTAGAATAAGCCTGCCATGATTTAACAATACTGTCAATCAGAAATGGTCGTTTCAGATCCAGAGAGTAAAAATCCAGACCAAGATTTTGTCTCAAGCAACCAGTTGAGTATAAAGAGTCACAGTCATAGTCACCTGGTTTGTTGAAACAAAATCTTGGTCTGGATTTTCATTTTCCAGACCTGAATTGTCCACCTCTGCCATCAACTATGCTTGGGTGGCAATACTGTAATACACTGTACCACAGTATTTTCGGTAAACCATGGTATTTTGAATTCATGGTGACAAAATAAGTGCATATCGCGGCATAATGATATCTGAATGGTTTGACGGCAGACCTAAGGACCACTGTCGCCGTGGTTGGTCTTATCTCACCACACAGCCACGCTAAGTAGAGCCTGTCCAGGCTGCCATTATCCCTGCAATACCACCGTCATACCCTACACAGCTATTAGTGTTCCACAATGGCTTACAAAACCAGACCCTATTTGTTTTCCAGCAGCCGCAGAAGGAGCCAACAGCGTGTTACAGCATCCAGGTGGACCCGACCGCACGTCATCAGAATCCCGGGCTTTGGACAGACACAGTGAATGCCATTTAGTGGCAACTGCTCTGCTCTTCAGCCTGGCACCTGTCTTTTAAATGTAAATAACATCACTCAGTCAGACAGCGAAAATCACAGGCATCCAGCGGGGTTTCTGTTCATTTCCGACAATAATTAAAGAACGGGGGTGTTAAGTAAAATGTAGTTTTTGTCGGCAGGGTTCTGTGAGCTATAACTCCGGCTCACCAATCCCCACGCGCCCGGCAGACTCATGATCGTCACAGCTGAGCACTGAAGGTCAAAATTATTCATGATGACGCCAATCCCAGAGTCATAGGGCCCCAGTCCATGTCACAACCACAAATACATACGTATGTAGTCACCCAGTGTCTGTCAGCAAAACAGACAAAAAAATACAGGAATAAAAAACAGCTCATTTTGAAACTTTATATTACCTATTTAGTAGATCTGTTAACTCAGTCAAATTATACAAGATGTGCTGGACAACAAGAACTAACAGACCAGGGAATGCAGGAAGATAAACAGGCTAAACCACAGAGGACTTTCAGACGGCTGCTTTCAACCAGACGCCGGCTAATTATGTCCCACCTGATTAACGGAGAAAAATCAATAATAAGCTGAAGCCATTTCAAAAACGCTGCAGATTGACTAATGAAGTTTGCAAGAGATCACTCCGGCAGCACCACACACACGGCAATTAATATTCATTTAAGTTAATGGTTGCAAAAACATTCTCCTTCGTGTGAAGAATAATGCTCCAGAAGAAATCTATGCAATTTATATTTACATTAATTTATTTGTAGGGCACAATTAACCAAATAAAAGCCAGAGCAAAGTTACATCAGACCCAGAGGCTTATCTTTGGCACTCAGACGGAGTAGATAAAAGGTCTTTAAGTCTCTTTGCATCCAGGGTGCCAACAGGCAGGCCATCCTGCTGAGGTTTATGACATGAAGGGCAGCACCGTGTGGAGGCTGATTGGGTCTCCATGCCCAGGCAGGACCCACATGCCACCCTGATGTTCTGACATTCCCCCGGCGCTGGGAGATCATGCCTGCTGCGGTTCTGCATTAGAGTTTGGCCAGGGCAACTCCCCCTGTAAACAGAGATTATCCTAAGCCCATTACTACTATGGGGTGGGGGGGGGGCTTACATTTGTCAGTGTTGTTTTTCGAAAATGGTCTTGCAGTCGGGTATCAGTCCATCACTGCCGAGTCTGAAAACGACAAAGCTATGTGGGGTGGTGTGAGGTCAGGTTGGGTGGGGAGGTGTGAGATCAGGTTGGGTGGGGAGGTGTGAGGTCAGGTTGGGTGGGGAGGTGTGAGGTTGGGTGGGGTGGTGTGAGGTCAGGTTGGGTGGGGAGGTGTGAGGTCAGGTTGGGTGGTGTGAGGTCAGGTTGGGTGGGGTGGTGTGAGGTCAGGTTGGGTGGGGTGGACTTCTGGACCAACCCCCATCACAAGACAAAACGACAGATTCATGAAGTGTTATATAATCACCCGTTTAACAGCCTTTAAAAGCAGAGGGACCCGACAGATCCCAATGACAGAGCCTCCTGAACAGGGAAGGCTTTCAAGAGGAATGTTTTACCGAGCACTGAAAAGCGGAGGTCACATAGGGTCGCCCGTTCACTGGTCACATGGCTGTCATTTGAGGAGGGAGGGACCAGCAGAGGATAGATTATTTTCTGAAGAGGAAAAATAAAAGGCCATTGGCAACGTCTTTTTTTCCCGGAGCATACAAAATAAAAATTCTTAAAGAACTACATTACTATGGCTATGATTCCTTGTTCATGAATTTCTCAACCTTTGGTGACCCACAGTTGGTTCATGTTTTTGCTCCCTCCCAGCTCACATGCAAAAACGTGCACTGGCTGAGGGTCTCAGAGGATTGGATTGAGGAACACTGGTTTAGATAATTGATAGTAAAATATGTTCCATGTGATCAACATCAGCAATGCCAATGAAAATGGGGCTAATGCCACCCTGCCCCCCCCTTCCAGGTACACCTCTGGAAGTGAGGAAGTGCTGGAGAGCAGCTTCATCAGAGGGCTATATGCACAGTGTTACAGTGGGCATGAGCGCCCTCCACTGACTAAGCAGGAAACCCCCAGTGCTGCTTATGGGATCAGTCACTGCAGAGATTCTGGGAGATATAATCTCTCCGAAGTGTCTTGGCTGTGGCCTGGGGCTTCTGCCCTGTGGGACATGCCCAGAACATCTCCCTTGGGAGCAAGGGTAGATAGTTCGGGTCCAGAAAGTAAAAATCCAGAACATGATTCTGCTTCAACCAACCAGTTGAGTATAAAGAATCACAGTCACAGAGTACTCAACTGGTAGGTTGAAATAAAATCTTGGTCTGGATTTTTACTTTCCGGACCTGGATTTGTCCACCTCTGCCATCAACTAGGCTTGGGTGACAATATTGTAATATACTGCACTACATTATTTTGGGTAAACCGTTGTATTTTGAATTCTTGGTGACAAAATTAGTGACACCCCCCCCCCATTATTGCTTTTGATAATACCATCACCAAAAAAAAAAAAAAAAAAAAAACTTTCTGGACCTGAACAATCCATCTCTGCTTAGGAGCCAAGCCAAACGACCTCAGCTGGCTCCCGGGGTCTCCAAACAGACGGCGAGAACAGCCAGAAACTTCAGTGCAGCCACTTGTAATCATGACCTTGTCTTTTGTTCATTACGCATAGCTCGTGACCATAAGTAAGCATAGGGACGTAGACTGACCAGTTAACCATGAGCCTCTTCATCTGGCTTAACGCAACGCTTTATCACCAGAGGCCTCCACAGGGCACACAAAACCCCAATATTTGATCTACCCATCATTCTCAACATCCCCTCAATTGCGATCTAGATCCCGCGGTACTTAAACCACCTTACTGTAGGCAGACTCTCTCAGCTCACCTGAAAGGAACAACCCACTCATTTCCTAGAGTGCAGCGTGGCCTCGATTTTAGAGGTGCTGGTTCTCATCCCTGCCGGTTCATACTTGGCAATAAATCACTCAGGTGTGTGCTGAGGGTCCTAATCTAATGAAGCAAAAGCACAACGTGATCGGCAAACATCACTTTTAGCCCCCATATCAGATGCAATTCCAGGCACAGCCGTGCCTTGCTATGCTGGCAGTACAGACCGGCTGAACACAGGCCACACCGATTTTGTGCAAATGATGCGACGGCCATTCTTACTACATTCACACAGGGTCCCCATATTCCTGTAACACCCCCCCACAGTAAGCCATCTCAATGTCCACAAAGCACAGGGAGACTGGGTGAGCATAATCCCACAAACCCTGACAAAGCTGTGCTAGGAAGAAGTGCTGCTTCACTGTACTGTTCCACAGCCAGGCCAGAATCCACA